CCGATCAGCTGTTTAAAATCACTGTCTTCCGAAGCTTCTGTCCGGAAAACAGCCATTTTGCGAAGGGAGGGAAGCCATTTTGCAAAGGGAAGCCATTTTGCAGAACCAGAAAAATCATCGTTTAGCAAACGGTTCGCGAAGCAGGGACCTAATCAATGTAAAGCGAAAAAAACCCATAGGAACCATCGTTGCAAAAAAGTCATCAAGCGATTTCGTCATGCAGGGTCGTCGTCATGTGGGGCACCACTGTAATATGTGTATTTACATTTTTATTTTATCCTCCGTTTACAAAGCATTAAAGCATGTAATTGCACAAGCAATAGTCACCTGAACAATTAAGCTCATAATATCTGCGGCACAACTGATTTAAGTATTATATCAAATGAATGTAATAATACTGAGTAACCACTTCTACTGAGTAGAAAATTACATAAAAGTAAATATTCATGTTTAGGTTAGCCTTTAATACTTCAGTGAAAGGAATTTCTTGTGGTAACAAAGAACAAGACATGTTTTAGTGGGACACCCTCCTTGTGTGTTGCTGTGTTGTCAAAAGACGGCACTTTATACTTTTAGGAAGAACATAACACTTTCTGTTTTGGGGGCTTTATGATTAATTGATTTTTTGCATGTTTATGGTAATATTTATAGTGTAATTCCGATTCTTTTTTATCTGTTTAATTTTACTTTGACTTTCAAGATGCTGTATTTTGTTGTACACTGGTGTGATGGCTGATTTTTCTGTTTGAAACGTAAGCTACAAACATATTATTGTGAGTGATTTGTGACCGAGCAAGCAAGCTTGAGGGTCCCCTCTTTGTTTCAGTAAGTATTCATGCCTATTGGGTAGGTTCAGACGATCACCATCCAACGTACACTCTAAGTTTCAGCCATGCTGGGCAGGGCTCTGCGTCTCTCTCTCAGCTTCGCCCCAGCGTGTGTGCATGTGTCCACTCCACTCCCCCCGTGTGCTGAGTTCCATTATGACTGGAACCTAATGTGATTGCTGCATAGAGGAGGAAGACAACTGCATAGAGAGAAATGGAGTTGTGTGTATGCGTGCGCCCAGCTTAGCAAGAACCATCCCATCTGTGCCCTCTTGGCCTCTTCTGTTAACTAATTTAAAAAGAGAATTCCTGGTTGGCATGTCTACAAGGAACTCGGGTTCAATTGATTATTTGTTCCTAAGCTGATGCATGACAGAAGGATGGAAAAGAGGAGAATATAGTAGTAATAACTATCTCTGAATTCATAAGCCATATTATAGGAAGCCTTTGGCAGTCATTCAGATGTGACCAATGGCATTTGTCACAGAAAATGCTACAGTGTTATTTCTGGTACCTCTTGTGTGGAACTAAATTTGCAGAAGTGGCCATAGCTGTTTGGCAAAATGGCTGTACTGTGTCTGGTTATGGCGTGAGCCACATGATAGGCAGCTCTTGGAACAGCCATGAACATGTCCGAAACTTCAGTTCTGCACACAGTAATCCCCAGCAAAGATACTGCCTTCTTGAGATCTGCAGTGGGACTAAAACTGATGGTAGCTTAAATCGCTTGTTCAAAATTATGTGTGTGTTGTAGGGTTATAAGTTTCTTTAATAAAGCTTTTTCAAAAAAAATTCAATAAGATTTTATCTTGATTCCTTTCCTAAGCAATTCCTTTAATCATTTGTCATTTGCAGTCCTGGAAAATCTTGCTGTTTGGTGCAATAAACATAGTGTGTACTGGTTTCCTACTTATGTGGTGCAGTTCTACAAACAGCATAGGTATGTTTTTCTTTTTTCATTTAAATGGTTATGATGACAATAAAATGAATCTTGCACTGATAGAAAAATGAGCAAAGTCAAGTCCTATTGTTGGTTTATAAAAGAACTGGACAGCTGAATCTTAATCAAATTAACTATAGATGTGTGAGCAATATATAATGTCTTATAATGTCCTTCTATTCACAAAAGGTATTTTAGATCATCTGCGTATTCCCTTCTATCACTTCTTTGGAATTTTCTTCAGGCAGATTTTAATGAAATAGTAGGATTATTTAGTCTGTAAGGATTTATATACATTTACAGTTTAATGTAAAATATCAATGGATGCTCCATCAAAATTACAGTGCTGCTATCTAGGACTTTGTGGAGCTATTGTTGCTGCAATATCACCATGCCTTTGCTATTCTGGAGTAAATTTCCCAATGTTGGAAATTGACATGGACAGATACTGTGACTGTTCCTAGTGAATGAGATTGAACTTGGTGTCTTGTCCCTTCCTGTCCTCTCTGACCATTTACTTGAAGGAGAGAACTAGAATAGATCATTCTGCAGCTGCTTGCAAATTTTTTAGTGGCTACTTGTCTTTCAGCTGTAGTGGATCACTCCCAGAGTCCTGTCACTTGCAATTCCTTTGAGGTGTCTTACAGTTCAGTGTGAAAAAAGGAATATCTTGAGAGCAAATGTGCTTATTTAGGGCGTAGTCTAAAGCCCAATATCATTGAATTTATCATTGAAAGCAGGTCTATGTATCAGTTTTTTTTCAGACACAAATTTGAAACTTCTAGATCATTTATTTCTGTGAGAATAAAGTGTAAACCTTCTTTCCACAGCTTTAACAGCATATACCTACTTAACAATCTTTGATCTTTTCAGGTAGGTTTTATAACAATGTATGATTTGCCTTTTGAAAGTTCCCATCTCATTTGTGGACAGAGAAATTCAGAAGGATGTCACCAAATTTCTCCAGGGGAAGAAAAAAAAAATCTCCCAACATTTTTTTCAGATGTGGGATCTGAATTTGCAGTGGCTGAACGAATGGCTTTGTTCCTTTTCTACTCGAAATGATTTGTTTTTGTTTTTGTAATGCATCATCAACAACAGCAGAGTTGGCGGCCTGTTGACCTCCACTTAATGTCATTTTATAACAGGGAATGGATGTGCTACAGAGGCAGCCACTTATGGGGGGGGGAGAATGGTGGAGAAGGTTTTGAAATAAATCTGCAAAACAGCTTTCTATTTCTAGAAGAATTAAAAGAATAAAGGAAATCAGAATATTTCTTCTTAGACAATTACTTTCAGATAAATTTTGGCTTACTATTTATTGTCATTCTTCTGAGTTCAGCAGGTTCTGAGTTCAAAGGCCCTGAGTTTCTCTGGGCCTTTGAAATATTATATTTGCAAGGGGTGGTTGTAGATGGTCATAACTTTGTGCTTATAATATAGTTCTATCCCCATGAGCTCAGATATGAGGGATAACAATTTTATCCTCCAGGAAAAAGATAAATAGTCCTGTGTATCATTTGTATGACAATAAATGCTTTATTTTACCGTGCAAAGGGCATCCCAATTTTTAAAATGTTTCTTTTGGATATATTTTTGTGCTTACTGTAACCCTACAAAAATGGCCAAGGATGCTGCACATACTTCACTTTCAATTACACATTCTGCAGCTTCCCTGGTGGCCTGCATTTCCTTGTGTGAGCCTTCCCTGTTGAAGGAGTTACTTTATCATATTGTTTTCTCAGCTGTAATTGAAGCATGGAAACTTGTGGGGGCCACTGGCCGCTACAAGGATTGTTGCACATTTGTGTTATAAAAGCAAGAGATGCATACACAATCCCTGGTACCTTGTATCCATGACAATTTCTCTGAAATTTTTCCATGTCTGCTATAATTTTCAAAGAGATCTTATGTTAGTATATCATTTTGAATGAGAATGTTTGGAATTCTCATTGGAAAAAGCTTCATCACAGCAGGAAGGCATTTATGTGGTAAATTCCTGATGAGCAGAATAAGTCAGAATTTTATTGAGGGCCCATGATTGATTTAAAATAGAGGGCTGCAACAATTTATGTTTCTGGATAACAGAGTAAAAAGCAGTATACAAGTTTCTCATCTTCAGGAACTTAAACAAGTAAACACACTCCTTGCTGTCATAAAACATTCTCTCATGAGAATTTTAAACATCTCATTCAAGTTGATCTGAAATAAATTATCCTCAAAAATAATAACAGAAGAGGAGAAATAAGGTTACTCTATCCAAGATAAGGGGGTGTAGAATTGCAGTCCTAAATGTCTGTCACTGTACTCATGATATTACAGTGCCTTTCTACATTGTGTTACCAGACTCTTCTGTACAGCAAAACAGAGGTTTTCTGGAAGACAGAGTATACTGGCCAAAATCCTGTTAATAACCATACCTCTAAGGCCCGTCATGTAGCAATTTTCCAATCTGGTGGGCTATACTGTTGGTTTCAAAATATGAGAAACTGTCTAAGTGCTGCATTCTAGGAGGAGCATTATAGTCATAATCTCTGAGAGGGACAGTGGTGGTATCTTTTCACTTCAGGAAGGCCCTGCCTGTTTTGACATAGATCCCATTAGTTAAATAAAAGTTTAGACTTATATTATGTCTTTGATCCTGCAGAGGCCCTGGAATCTTAATTGTTTTCCTCTAGTCCTATGTTAGTGTATCCCTTTTCCTTGTAGGCTTGTGTAGTTGTTTGGAAGGTGTGGCATTAAGTTTTATAAATAAATACCTGGAGCTCCGTAGTCCTTGATTGAGACTGCGGTACCAGTTTTATTGATAGGGCAGTTTACTTCCTTATCATGTATAAGGTTTAATTTTTAAGGAAACTTAATGGGAAATTATATTTTAAAATGTGAGAGTAAACTATTTTAATAGTTAGACTATACTTATTTGAATGAATCTGTATGGTTTTTATTTTTTTAGCTTAATAACATGCCTAATAAGTTATTGGATAATGATGAAGAAGCCCATCCCAGCTTATTCATTTGGGTAAGTGATTATTCACATATTTTGAAAACATAGGAAGTGCATTTTATTTCTCTTAAAGCTGATATAAAGATAAAGAGGTTTTTTTAAAAAGGGATCAAAATCCATTTATGAACCTGCAAAAAAAAACCATAAATAATTTTTAGTCAGATTGAAGAAGATCAGAACAACACTGTACCTTAGGTTTAGAGTGGCCTTGGCAGCCAGATGAGCAGTATAAAAGTCAAATAAATAAAATCAATACATATAAAATAGTTCTAGAATCGTTCATTGTGGAGAAATTAGATACGGCTTGAGTTGGGACCATCACAAATAGACCCTAGTATGAGATTACTGACTTACAGCCCTTATATGGGTCACATCAGGCGTGTGATTTTATCAGGTTTATGAAGACCCAATAAAATTTTTAGTAATTTGTGAGGTATTAACAGATTGCCTGAGGAAAAAGAAATACATCAGTGTGGTGTAGTGGACAAAGTGTCAGGAGAACTAGGTTCAAATCCCTGCCCAGCCATGAAAACTCAGTAGGGCTATCAGTGATAAAGCCCTTGGCTATTTCATATACTTTGAAAATCCTATGAACGTTGTTGTAAGTTGGCAGTTATTTAATGTTACATAACAGCAGCAATTACAAGAACGAATGACTTCCGAAACATCCCATCATTGAGAGATAAGATATAATCTAAAGACCATGAGTTCTTTTATTGACTCAATCCATTGTCCGATATATACAGTATCCCACTTTTCTCTTCAACTTTTCCCAGCATTGTTGCTTTTTTCTAGTGAATCTTTTCGTGATTTAGTTTAATCATTTTTAACTTCTAGTGAAAGTTCAGGTTTGCTTAGCCTTCAAGTAAAGTTAACTTGCTGATAAATATTCTTACATGTTCAAGTTGATTTTAACATTTTTGTTCTTCAAAATTTCAGGTTTGAAAGATTTGAAGTCCTAGCAGTATTTGCTTCTACCGTTCTGGCACAGCTTGGAGCACTTTTTATACTTAAGGAAAGGTAGGAATAAACAGATAATAAGATCTAAACTGGACCTCTATCAATATTATTTTGGATCTCTTTCAGAGATGTAGTTAATTGCTAAAAATATACTGTAGAGACACATATAAGTGATTAACAAACAGAAGCAAAATGTTTCAGTTTTTGCCATCTTCCATCAGACAGGTAGGAATATACAGTATATTCTTTTTATACTTAGAGAAAGGTTGGAATATATATATACTGCTTGCATTTATGATCAATATATATATATAACAAGGGCAACTTAACTCCAGTGAAACAAGACAGTTGTTTTTATTTTCTAGCACAGTTCCAAGCAGTGGTAGGATGTTTCATTTGTAGCATATTGATTTATACTAGAATGTATAAATGTGTAGCTGACAAATTTATTGAAACAAGTAATAATGTGTTAATTGTAACATTGTGATTCTTGTTTCTTGTAGTGCTGAGCGGTTTCTAGAACAACCAGAAATTCATACGTAAGTGGCTTTTACATACAGAGGTCCGAAATTAAATTTTATGGCAATAAAGTGGCATACCTAGTAAGAAAAGAAAAGTGTGCTGCTTATATACTGCCTCATAGTGCTTAAATCACTCTCTGGGTGGTTTACAATTTAGTTATGCAGGCTACATAATACCACCACCACCCAGCAAGGAGGGTACTGAGTGTATTTTGAGCTGGATATCTGGGATTGAACCTAGGTCTTGAGAAGAGTTTTGGCTGCAGTGTTGCTGTTTAAGGCTCCTGTACAGTCTTTTAATGTTAATTTTACATAATAAAATATTAGTACAGTGTTAATTTTACATAGTGCTACAGTTTGAGGCACAGATCTATAAATAATGTTTATGCTGACAGAACATGAGGTCAGTGGCAAAAATGTATTATAACTATACTGTATCTGCATTAATACATCAATTCATATACTTAACTAATTGAACAAGGTGACTTTTTAAAAGCATCTGCTGCTGCAGATTTCAAGCTCATGTATATTTATTTTATAGGAGAACATTAGTATATAATGTATAAACCTGCTTTTCTTGTATTTTAAAAAATAGGTTATGCTAAAGCACTCAATTAAAGGAATCAGTTCTTTACTTCAATTAGATGTCATTAAATATAATTTGAATAAGACTAAAAATATGATGGCAATCAGAAGCTGATAGAAGAAATGGTAATGTAGTAAATGATAGTGTCTTGGTGAGTGGCATGAAAAATGAAGGTAAACTCCTTTCCTTTTCCAGGGGTCGATTGTTGGTTGGTACCTTTGTGGCACTCTCTTTCAACTTGTTTACGATGTTGTCTATTAGAAATAAACCCTTTGCTTACGTTTCTGAAGGTATGTAGTAAATAAGTGTGGAAAAACAACCTAACTAATACTACTGAATATTCATGGGTTCACAAACATGACTTGGAAGCGTAGTGTAACTACTATTGCATTCATGAGTAGAATTGCATAGGGAGTATCCAGTTTCATAGATAATCTGGTATATCAGTCCTTTGGTCTGACTCTGATATTTACATCTGAATCTTGGCTTGTACCAGTGCAGGTTAGTCTTGTGTGCTGTTTGTAATGGGCCTCCTTTGTGTCCCTTTGGGTCCTTTGTTGGGAGAAATGCATCATCATCATGTGATGGCGGTCTGATCCTGTTATTACTAGTGGTACTAAGAACAGTGCAGCTATATTGGCAAAATAACAAAGTGGACTGATGTAAACTAATGGTGCATATATTCCATAATTTTCTTATAAAAGTCTGACTGGACTACGGATTATACAGGATTCAGAAAAATGTTTGTGTTTGGGGGAATTCTATGGAGGAGATCACTAAATTGTTTCTCATCAATATGAAGGATGCTATAAGTAATGTGCAAATAATTGTGTTTTCATGAGAAATTAGATATGTCTCTATTTTGACTGGCATGTCTGATTATCTTGCCAGTTATGAAAAGGTGAAGAATCAAATAGTACTGAATTAATTTCCTGACAACCCTTGTTAGAATAACATGTTGTGCATGTTTAAGGGCAGAATATTCACAACTATTGGTAGGATAGTAGAGCCTTCATAGGTCCATAGAGGATGATTTACTTTCTGAGATAAAATACTGTCTTGGACCTGCATGATGTCAAACAAGATGACTAGATATAGATTTCTAGCAAAGTTGGGTTTGTAACTATGATTTAATAAGTATTTTCTTAAAGATAATTGGTGGTTCTGTTTTCATGTAGCTGCAAGTACAAGCTGGCTTCAGGAGCATGTTGCCGATCTCAGCAGGAGGTAAGATAGAGATAGATATGGTAATTTGGGACTTATGGGCAGTACACTTTTATACTCTTCCTAAAATGGCCGGGATGTTGTGGCGCTGTGGGTTAAACCGCAGAAGCCTCTGTGCTGCAAGGTCAAAGACCAGCAATCATAAGATCGAATCCACATGATGGAATGAGCTCCTGTCGCTTATCCCAGCTCCTGCCAAGCTAGCAGCTCAAAAGCATGTAAAAATGCAAGTAGATAAATAGGTACCACTTCGGTGGGAAGGTAATGGCATTCCGTGTCCAGTCACGCTGGCCACGTGACCACGGAAACTGTCTTTGGACAAAACGCTATCTCTATGGCTTGGAAACGGGGATGAGCACCGCCCCCTAGAGTCGAACACGACTGGACTAAATGTCAAAGGGAACCTTTACATTTAAAATGGGCTTCTTGTAAAAATAGTTGCTGCATGGATAGAGGTACTATTTAACAGGCATGATATGTGATGTCTGTGCAGTGCTAACATACTAAGCTGTAAAGTGTTTCATCTAGCTTTGAGCAATCAATGATTTAAAGACTGGGACGTGTATACTAAATTGGCTGTCTTAGCCGTACTACGTTCTCTGGGCAGACAGGGTTCCAGGAAATGTTTCAGGTAGGAATTAAATTAAAAATATCTGAAAGGGTTATAAACAAACTCAAGTGAATGCAAATCTTGCTCTTTTTTGTGCTAAAGTTATTTTGAAATACAATTCTCTGAAGGTACCTTGACAGCAGTCTGTTTCTTGTGTGAGTGTGAGACAGCAAAGATCCTGTGCCGTATTCCCCTCTTCATTCCTCTGTTTTCTTGCCATCTTTGAATCATATATATATATATTTGAGAACTCTACTATCCTGCTGTGGGTGTCTGATCAACTGAAATATCATCTTTCTGTTTTGTTTACACATTGTTTACACATAGTTGTTTTCTCTCAGAAAAATATTTGGGGGAATTCTGTGGAGGAGATCACTAAATTGTTTCTCATCAATATGAAGGATGCTATAAGTAATGTGCAAATAATTGTGTTTTCATGAGAAATTAGATATGTCTCTATTTTGACTGGCATGTCTGATTATCTTGCCAGTTATGAAAAGGTGAAGAATCAAATACTGTATTACTGAATTTCCAACCTTTGAACTCTTGCCTCACAATCCAATATTTATGTACTGAATCTTAGCCCTGGTGTTAGTTTCTTGAAATACATATCACTAGATGACCAAATAGGCTTATTTAGATTCTGTATACAGTATCTTGCCTTTTAGGTAGGGTTTGGGAGTCTATGGCCCTCCAGACGTTGTTGGACTGCATGTCCTGTCTTTCCTCACAAACAGCTATGTTAAAGTTGATGGGAATTGCAGTCTAACAATATCTGGAATGCCACATGTTTCCCCAGCTTTCCTCTGTGGGATAGTCATCACAAGGTGATATGTTCAGACAGACATTTTAAGATATCAGCAACATAATACCACAAAAATAATAAATAAAAATTGCATACTATCAAGCCAGTTCTGAGATGGCAACTCTTTACAGAATATTCTAGGTAGAGAGTACTCAGAAGTGGTTTACCATTCCCTTCTTCAGTAGGCACCCTTGGACTGTGCAGCTTGCCCAAGGACACAAAGGCGGGCTCTTCTCACAGGAGGCAGAGTGGAGAATTAAATTCCCAGCCTCTGGCTCTATAGCCAGATATCTAAGCCAGTGAGCAATCCAGCCAGTATAGTGAGGCAAGCAGCACGCCGACAGTTTAGATCCTTTCTGAAAACTGTTTTGAAAGTATACACTAGGGCCTGACTGAGATGACCTATTTCTCATGCCCACCCACTTAAGTGATAGTACTGGCATATGAATAGGTTTTCTGAAGTTGATCTTAACATTCAAATAAGATCATTTGGGTGAAGGTTTTGCTTTAGATTACATGGCCAAAAACTGTAGGATTGTTGGCTTTCCAAATCATTTTGACTGCAACACTAATTGAAGTTGTGAGGGAATACTTGTAAATAAAATGTAGCTTTGCCCTTGATTCAGTTTCAAAGGGTGGAAGTTTAAAAAGCCGAATAATGTTCCAATTAAGTATAGACACCCCCAGCCCCACCATTCAGCAGCAAGGCTCACAGCTGTCCCAGTTGTGTCTTCCTGTCTACAGAGAGCTGCTGTAAGAAAGTGTGTTCTGTGCCAACGTGTTGCACTTTAAAGTTATGTGACTTATTTTAAGGAGTGGTTTTACCATTAAACCCCCTCCCCCTAGAGTACCCTCTAATTTCAGCCTTGCTCGGCAGGGCTCCATCTCTCTCTCTCAAGCGACTTCATCCTTGAGTGTGTGGGGTTCTATCATGACCAGAACCAAAGGGGATGAAAACAATCACTGTGTAGAGGAGGAGGAGGAAAGCCGTGTTAAGGAAGATGGTCATGTGTGCACACACAAGTGCATGCCTTAGACGGAACCTCCCCCCCAATAATTTTTTATGTCCTTGCCATGCAGGGTCTCCTGAATACTAGTTATTCTATCCACTATACCTCAATGATGTTCACTGTATGTTTTTCACTATTTATTTTGCAATTTACATTTCTAATTTATACTATTTTTCTTTTTCTTTTTAGCATATGTGGTATCATCCCTGGTTTGAGTAGCATCTTTCTCCCACGCATGAATCCTTTTATCTTGATTGACCTTGCTGGAGCTTTAGCTCTTTGCATTACATACATGCTAATTGAAATTAAGTAAGTAATCTTGAATTTAATAATTATGTTCATATATATTTAATCCTGGAAAATAGATATGCCCTCTAATGTTACATTTGTTTCTTTCAGTAATTATTTTGCTGTTGATACTGCTTCTGCAGTAGCTATTGCCTTGATGACGTTTGGTACCATGTATCCCATGAGTGTCTACAGTGGCAAGGTATTGCTACAGGTGAGGCAATAGAGAAGCCATTTTGTAATGGTATATTAGAGTGTAGCCAAGATTGGGAGCACTCACCAGCTTGAGCAACAGAACAAAAAAAAAAGCTGGCAGAAAGCTGTATCTGATGCCGTTCAATATATATCAGAGAATGTCAGCTATGTATAATTGTTTTCAATATATAGCTTTCCTAAAATGTATGTGCACACAAACAAACACACTTTAATTTTATGAAATGTTTAGAAATTGTTAAACACTTAGAAAGCAGATGTAGGGAGAAAAGCAGGTGCTGCCACAAGAACCATTTGCTGACCGCTTATTTTTAAAATTAGAGATCTAGGAACAGCTTTACATATTGAAAGAATCTGTAAAAAAATAAAGATGCTTGAGACTAAGATGGAGATGCTTTTATAGTGATTACAATGACTTCCTCTCTGTAGTTTGTTTCTTCAGCATAGTTTCTGTGCTGCTACCAGCTGTCATCCTGTTGTTGTTGTTGTTGTTGTTGTTGTTCAGTCGTTAAGTCATGTCCGACTCTTCGTGACTCCATGGACCAAAGCATGCCAGAAGCCACTGGTAATAGTGTGTATTCCACTGCCTCCCGGAGTTGGGTCAAATTCATGTTGGTCGCTTCGATGACACTGTCCAACCATCTCGTCCTCTGTTGTTCCTTTCTCCTCTTGCCTTCACACTTTCCCAATATCAGGGTCTTTTCCAGGGAGTCTTCTCTTCTCATGAGATGGCCAAAGTATTGGAGCCTCAGCTTCAGGATCTGTCCTTCCAGTGAGCATTCAGGGTTCATTTCCTGCAAAATGGATAAGTTTTTTCTCCTTGCAGTCCAGGGGAATCTCAAGAGTTTCCTCCAGCACCACAATTCAAAAGCATCAATTCTTTGGTGGTCAGCCTTCTTTATGGTCCATCTGTCATCTTAGTACAGGCTTATTTTCCTTGTGTCTCAGTCACTCTTTAAAGATCAAAATCACCTAGTTATCTACTCATTCCCAAAAGTGAATAACTGCACTGGTATATGCATAACGGATGTTAAGTTATGCAGTGTATCAGTATATGAAATTAATCTTCAGAAAACGGTGGTTTTGGCAATAAATATTCACAGGACTAATGGCCCAAAGCAAAAAAAACCTAAAGAAAACATTTCTCAGTATTTCTAAAAAGATGAAATTCCTAGAGATTTGTTTAAATACAGTGGTGCCTCGCAAGACAGCTTCTTCTGTGGGTATGCTTCACAAGACGATTTTTCCCCTGCAAGACTGATGCCTCGCAATGCATTCCTATGGGAAACCGCTTTTCACAAGACAAAAATTTCACAAGACAGCACTACTTGCTGAACAAATTACTTTCGTCTCGCGAGGCACCACTGTACACTGAACAGACTACATTTAAAATAAGGAACATTTCATATTTTGGTTGAGGCAGGAAAAGATTTGCAAGTAAGGGGAATCTTTAAAAGATAACATTATAAGTACAGTAAGGTACTCTTTAAAAAGATAACATTATAAGTACAGTAAGGTTCTTTCATTTTTTGAAGGATTACAAAGTGATACCTTGAAAGTACTCTCCGTTTAAAGACTGATATATTTTAATATGAGTTTTCACTAATACATCCATTTCTGAAGGAGTGGATGTATCCACAAAATCTCACGCTGAAATATCACAGTTAGTCTGTTATACAGTATTTCTGATGATTATAATAATGATGATTTTGTCTGGATAAACATGCTTAGTGAGCGGTGAAGACAAACCTATAAATCTTTGCTTTGTGTTTCAATGATCTCCACAAGCCAGGGAATGTTGAATGTCAGGCTGAAGAAAAAAACTGGAGCAAGGCAAGGCAGATGAAATGAAATATTATAAAACAAATGAAAAGTTCCCTCAAAAACCTGATGAATATTTTTGCCTTTTCCCATTTTTTCATGTCTCTTCTGTAAGGAATAGACACATCTGGCTAGAACTGAACACTCATTTCTGTAATGATACGAGCCTTCACTACAAAGTAGTAGTGCGATTTACACTTGCTGACCCATAATTTTCTATGGATCTTCAGTGTTTAATGGAAGATAGTAACACTAATAAAGCATTGTGGTTCAATTTTTGTAGCTGTAATTATTTAAATCACACATGTTGTGGGCTAATTTACAATGACAGTCAGTTTTCTCCCTTTTTGTGAACTGCGGAAGATCAGATTGACAACTCATACCGTGCTGTTCAGTACATTCTTATTCTATGTACTGTATCAACAAGGTTGCTGTACATAAACTACTGCCCCGTTCAGTGTTTCTTTTGGAAGAAACATATTGGGGTAATAATGCTTATCTTTTCCACTTATCTAACATAAATGAACCAGTTAGTTCCCTGATACTTCCGTTGTTCATAGTTCACCAGAACTGTTAACAACTGAATGTCACGATTGTCTTTTGTATTACTGTCATTCTAATTGAATCCATACAGGCTCTAGACTACTGCAATTTGTATTGAGATCAGGTTAAAGGCACTTCAGCCCGTACAGAATACAATTGTCAGCATTTTTTTTTGAGGGCCACACAATCCAAACACAAAACTCTGACTCTGTTACACCTGCACTGATTAACTGCCAGTTGATAGTGTTGGTGATCACTTTTAAAGTCTAAATGCCATGGGGCCAGGTTAGTCGAAAATCTACCTGTTCTTGTATAAACATGCCTGGGCCATAAGGCCCTAGTATCTACTTTGACTGTCAAAGACCAGTTCAGATGCACCTGTACATTGTATTAGGTTGCTGAGTAGCAGAACCTTTTCTGTCATAGGGTTCAGTCACATTGCCGATTTAAATTGCTTTTTAAAAGCATCATAAGAGACCTACAGTAGATGTTACAGTCTATTTTAAAATGAATGGAAGCCTATCTTTATCTTATACATTGGAGGAATGTTTTTGTTTGTCAAATGCTTTATGGTGTTGCTTTAATGTATTTTATATTTGTTTGAAATTTTAAAAACACTGTCAATGTCTTTAAGGCTATGCCTGGAAAGGTGGTATTAAAACATTTGAAATAAATGAATAAAAATAAATCTCCGTGGCAAACAGATCTGTTCTTTAAAATAACTGTCATGGTATCTTGTTTTTCCAGACTACACCACCTCATGTCATTGGACAGCTGGATAAACTTATAAGAGAGGTTAGTTAGAATAAAATGGTGCATTGGTACACAGTGACCAGGGCTGCCTCTGCCAGTGGGTTCATACGGAATGCTTCTCTTCATATGCAGTGGAGGAGATGCTTCTGTTCAAATATTGGCCACTCTCATCCATGGGATGCTGTTTTAGAGGGCTTTCTGATGTTAGTGTCTGCATTTAGGATTGTTGCTTTAAAAGCGGGTAACTATAAAAGGGTAGAATAAAAATCTGTTGCTGTTCTAATCTGCCTCACAGATAAAACTTTTTTTGGTGATGCATTTTAGTTGTGTGTGTATGAAATACAGTGCCTCGTGTGTGAACTAGGTAATGCCATGCATAGGATATTTAGCCTGTTGTTAACATTCAGAAGAACATATGCATGTTTCAGTGGGATAAGAAAATAAAAATGATGGTTGTAAACATTTGCTAATAAATTAGATATAGGATAATGTTTAGATCAGTCTTGTACTCTTTTAAAACTGCTGCATTTCTCCCAACAAGGGACCCAAAGCGGCTCAGATTTTCATCATGATCTTATGTATTCATATTGAAAGGCTCTTTGACCTTAAATGAATGTGCTTATTTATGAAACTTTTGGGACTATCTTACTAAGCAGCTAGAAACATTAGTATTTTAATATAGCATTTTAATTAAACAGTATTCTCTAGATGGCCATATGAGCAGCAGGACTTATTAATATTAATGTTTTAAGAATTGTTTTAATACAGGATATTTTATATTGTGCATTTTAATGTTTTTAATGTTTTTAAGTTTTAATATTGTTGTACGC